GCAAGGCCCGGCGGCTGGCAGCCGCTCAGGCCTCGCTGTCAGAGCCGGGGGGGAGGAGACCGGGGGAGCCTTACCTGCTGCTGCTGCCTCCTCCTGCTGCTCTGTATGGAGCTCTTTCTCCCCCCCCCCGCGAGTATCGCGGGTCCCCTTACTTGTTTACATATAACAACTAATAAGATTGTATAGTTAAAGACCAATGAGAGTCTTTCCCTCTCTGGAGCCTGTACAGTTCCTGATTGGTCGCTGTTAGAGGACGACCAATGATAATGCAGTTCAGAGGAGCCTTCATCCGGCTCATGCTTTACATTGGGAGTGAATGAGGCGATTCATGTAAGCGATTTCCAATACATAACAATTCCTCCCCCCTAAGTTAAGACATCATACACTTTTATTATTAACAGTTTACATTAGTCAATACCATTTTTATTGCAAACATAATCTTTCAGATATGTGGGAGGTTGCCGCGAACGCTGAGATCTGCGAATCGGTGTAGGCTCAGCGGGTAGGCTTACTTGTGGGTCACTGTGGGGCCCTGTACTAACGGGGTCAGACACAGTCTCAGGGCTTGCCATCTCACAGTCAGGGTTCTGCCCTGCTTCTGAGGCAGTATCTGGCATTTCAGGGCTCACCTCCGTCTCCGGAGGTCTCAGCTCAAAGTCAGAGAACTCAGCTGTCGGAGAGTCAGTGCGGGTGAGGTACGGGGGGCGGGGCACATGACGAAGCCCCGCCCCCTGCTTCCGGCCGCCCCGCTTCCCGCCCTCATTCAGCCAGGAGGAGGCAGGAGGGAGGGTAAGTTGCTTCCTCCCTGCCTCTCCCCACCCCTGCCTGCCTGGGGCCAGGGAGGGCCTTTGCGGGGCTTCCTTGCACTCCCGCCGGCCTTGCAGGTCCACCGCTGGCCCCCTCATGGGGCTCGGCAGTGGTGGAGCTGCAAGGCCGGCGGCGGCCGGGACCGTTGGGGGCGGGGGGTGTGGCCTTATGACACACTTCCGGTGATGTCAGGGGGTGTGGCCTTATGACACACTTCCGGTGATGTCAGGGGGTGTGGCATATGCTAATGAGTTATGCTAATGAGTTCCCCTAGCTCTTTTTCTACGAAATGACCCCTGGGCGTCGCCATTTCCTACTATCGGCCATCTGTACCACATACATTCTAGTGCCAACACGCTCGCCCACCACCCCGGGGATCCATAAGTGCCCGCTAGCGTAATTCTGGGCGAAAACCTTGTCCCCTGCCTCAAATATGCGCACCTTTGTTTGAGAGTCAGTACGCTCCTCCCGTTGTTCGTTAAGGTCAGGGTGCAGTCTGTTTAACCGGGTAGTTAGTCGTCTGCCCATTAGTAACTAAGCCGGGCTACGGCCCGTTGTACTATAGGGGGTGGTATGTTGCCACAACAGGAAGGACCCCAACCGGACAGTCCAATCTCCCTCTGTTAATCTACCCAGAGCTTCTTTGGCTGTGAGTACCATACGCTCTGCCTGGCCATTTGAAGCTGGGTGAAAAGGGGCAGCGGTGATTTGGCGAATGCCATGGTCAGAGAGTAATAGTTTGAACTCATCCGAGACAAACTGAGGGCCGTTGTCGCTAACCAGCGTGTCCGGCAACCCGTGGGTTGCGAACAGCCGGCGTAGTGCATGTATGACCGCAACGGAAATGGTCGAATGCATGTGCACCACTTCAAGCCATTTAGACCAGGCATCCACAATGATCAAAAACATCTGTCCTTGTAAGGGGCCAGCGAAATCCATGTGAAGTCTTGACCATGGTTTACCTGTTGATTCCCATTTTTGTGGTGGGGCTGGAGGCGGTTCTGGCCTGCTTTGTTGGCACTGATTGCAAACCTGTACCCATTCCTCTATTTCCTTATCAATTCTGGGCCACCACACATAGCCTCTTGCTAGGGCCTTCATGTGCACCGTTCCCGGGTGCCCGTCGTGCAAGGATTGCAACACTCTGTGCCTAAGTTTGTCAGGAACTATAACTCTGTTCCCCCAAAGTATACAACCTTTTGAGATAGACAATTCTGCTTGTATGGTTGGAACTCGGGTTCCATACTGCCCATAGGCCACCCCCTCCACACCCAGTTGAGCACACGGGATAAGACGCTATCCCTTGCAGTTTGTGCAGCTATATCCTTGGAAGAGACTGGTGCCTGAGGGAGTTCATCTATGGCCAAGACTTCACATGCGGGGGCTGGGTCTGTTCCTTGGTTAGGTAAGGAACAGCGGCTGAGTGCGTCAGCGTGCCCTATGGCCTTACCCGGCCAGTGCTCCAGATCAAAATCATACGCCTGCAAAAACAACGCCCACCTAAGCATTCTTGGGGACATGATGTTAGGCAGCTGCTTATCGGGCGCAAAAATCCCCAGTAGCGGCTTGTGGTCTATGACCAGCACAAATTTTCTGCCAAAAACAAAATCGTGGAACTTTTTGACAGCCGCTACTAAAGCCAGACCCTCCTTGTCTATCTGGGCATAGTTCCTTTCTGCCGCAGACAGAGACCTAGAATAGAAAGCGATAGGCGCTTCGCTTCCATTCGGCATCAGATGGCTCAAAACGGTGCCTACTCCAAAAGCCGAAGCGTCTGCAGCCAAAACCAGGAGCTTTTGCTCATCGTAATGAGTCAAGACAGCGTTAGACATCAACAGTGCTTTTGAGCCAGTTTGGTGTAGTGGTTAAGTGTGCGGACTCTAATCTGGGAGAACCGGGTTTGATTCCCCACTCCTCCACTTGCACCTGCTGATGTGACCTTGGGTCAGTCACAAGCTCTGGCACAGCTGTCCTTGAAAAAGAGCAGTTTGTGTCAGAGTTCTCTCAGCCCCACCCACCTCACAGGGTGTCTGTTGTGGGGAGGGGAAGGGAAAGGAGTTTGTAAGCCGCTCTGAGACTCCAAGTGAAGGGTGGGGTATAAATCCAATCTCTTCTTCTTCTTCTTCTTCTTCTTCTTCTTCTTCTTCTTCTTCTTCTTCTTCTTCTTCTTCTTCTTCTACTCCTGTGAAAGCCTCGTCTTCAGCCTGTCCCCATTTCCACTTCGCATCTTTGTGTAAAAGTGGGTGCAAGGTTGCTGCCACTGATGCCTTGTGCGGTAAAAACGCGTGATAGAAATTTAGCAAACCAAGGAATGCTTGCAGCTCTTTCTTATTCACTGGCTTGGGGGCGTTTTTAATAGCTTCAGTTTTTTCGCTTGTGGGGTGAACCCCTTCCGCATCTATGCGGAACCCAAGAAAATCCACACTCTCAACGCCCAATGTACATTTGGAGCGTTTGACCCTTAGCCCAGCATTTTGAAAATGTTTCAAAACCTCTGTAACTCTGTCCCGCAATTCCTGTTCAGACTTCCCCGCTATCAACACGTCGTCAAAATAGGGGACTGTGCCCGGCACCCCCCTTAAGGGACGTTCCATTAGACTTTGAAATATACCTGGTGCCACGTTAACTCCGAACTGGAGCCTGTTGACCTTAAAAGCCCCCTTATGGGTCACAATGGTTTGGGCTTCAGCAGCCTCTGGTGTGACAGGCAGCTGCTGGTATGCCTGTGCCAAGTCAAGTTTTGCAAATATTTTACCTCCCCCCAGGGAAGCCAGGATATGGCTCATTACCGGTACTGGATAGGAGTGCTGTTGCAGCGCTTTATTCAAAGTGCATTTATAATCTGCACATATTCGCACAGATCCATCTGGCTTGATTGGCGTTACTATAGGGGTCTCCCATTTCCTGTGCGGTACAGGTTCTAGAACCGCTTGCGCAATGAGCTTGTCTAGCTCCCTCTCAACCCGGGGCCTTATGGATATGGGTACTTTTCTGTATTTTAACCTTATGGGGGTCACAGTCGGATCTAGTTCAAAAGAGATGGGGGGACTGTTGTACCTCCCCAGCCCGTCTCCAAATACCGTAGGGAACTCATCATAAAGCATATCCCATTTATTTTCAGACATTGTATTGACTCCAAATAGGTTTAAACCAATCCAACCCCAAAAGATTTACACGGTCCCCTTCAGCAACTAAAAACGATAGTTTAGCACATGTCCCCTTATACTCAACATTTACAGTATCTTTGCCGGCCAATGGAATTCTTCTGCCCTGGAAATCGGACACCCGCGTGTCCGCATGTTGCAGTCGCCGTCTGCTTCGGTTTGGGAACAGCCGCTGCCAGGACGCTGAAGAGATGATGGTGAGCGATGACCCGGAATTGACTTCCATGGAGCAAGGCTGGACGCCAAGGAGCAGGGTTACCGTGATTTTGCCTGTGCAGCTAGTACGACAAACGGTCGAAGCGCTGGTCAAGGTGGACGTCATCTGGCAGTTTGCCTCATGGATTGGGGATCGCTGTTTGCCTCGGGTGCTGGGTGACGAATTCTTGTTTGCCGATCTGCAGACTCTTGCAAGGTGCCCCCTCCGACCGCACACTCTGCATTCCAAATCTCACGCTCAGCAGGAGTCTCGTTGGTGCTTCCCGCCACAACCAGAGCAGGCTTTGCTAGAGGTTGCTTTCATTGGGGTCCGCTTATCTCGAACTGCGTTTACGTCATTGTGCGCATCATCGTCCTCTCCTTCCCGACACTGGAAGTGGACCTGTTCCTCTGCTGTAGCCTGGCGCTGTCGAACTTCCTTCGTGGACCGGTCAGCTGCTTCTGCTGCTACTGCCTCTTGGTAGGCTACGGCCCAGGTCAGGGTCGTTCGTGCGAACAGCTTCTGTTGTAGTTTTTCGTCCCTCAGGCCGCACACAAACCGGTCTCTGAGGGCCTCCTCCACGTCAGTGAAGTTACACGGCCTCGCTGCCTTGCGAAGTGCCGCCACAAACTCTGCGATGGATTCGCTCACTGCCTGGCTTCTTTTGTAGAACGCGTGCCAGCAGGCGATCTCTGAAGGCTGAGGGGAGAAGTGGGTCTTCAGCTTTGCGGTGAGCTCTGTGAATGCCACTGTCTTGATGTCAGTTGGCGCCACCAACGACCTCGCGATGTCGAAGGTGCCCTTTCCGCAGGAGCTCAGCAGGCAAACCCTCTTCTTCGCCTCATCGGTAATGTCGTTGGCCTCCAGGTGAAACTTGAACTGGGCAAGGTACGAGTCCCAGTCCTCCGTCGTGGGTTCGAATGCTTCGAACTTCCGGTTATCGGCCATCCCGGCAGGCTTGGGCACCGGTGCTGGTGGTCCCTCCGCTGGAAGGGCCGCTGTGCCTTGCTCGTTTCCTTCGGTCGTGTTACCTGCTCTAACATCCCATCCTCGTCGCCAATTGTTAGATCACACTAACAAAGACTCGGAGAGTGATTTCAGCAAGTGATTCAGCTTTAATAAAGGAACGAACAAGCACTCAAACGCAGTTAATAACCAGAACGGTTTAACATAGGGAGCTAGGCTCCTTTTAAACATTCCCGGGCTAACATAGCCACGCCTATTTACATATAACAACCAATAAGATTGTGTAGTTAAAGACCAATGAGAGTCTTTCCCTCTCTGGAGCTTGTACAGTTCCTGATTGGTCGCTGTTAGAGGGCGACCAATGATAATGCAGTTCAGAGGAGCCTTCATCTGGCTCAAGCTTTACATTGGGAGTGAATGAGGCGATTCATGTAAGCGATTTCCAATACATAACATTTTAACTGTATTGTATTTTACTGTTGGAAGCCGTCCTGAGCCCATCAAGGGGAGGGCAGGATATAAATGCAATAACTAACTAACTAGTTTTGGTTCTTCCTTCCTTTCTTTGCTTCTTGGTGTTGAGCTAATGACAACTGTCATGTAAAGGACAATTTCCCCCTAATGTGCTGCTGATGATCTAAATATCCCTCCCCACCCTCAAAAAGCACCAACTGCACCAAATGCATTGGGATGCCCCCCTTGGGGACTGAACCCGAGTCCATTAGCAAGCACGTGATTACAAACTGAGGGTTAGGGGGTGGTTGTGTATCTGGGGGTGTTAGCCGATGACCAATTCCGGAGGGAGGGAGTGGGAGCCTGCGTGGGGCTACTCAGCGGGCTAAGGCTGGCGGCGGGCTTGGGCTGAGGAGCTCGGCAAAGAGCTCCAGTAGCCTGCGGAGCGCCCGTCCCGTCTGGAGATCGCTGCA